CCCTTGAGTCCAGGAGTACGAGGCCAGACTGGACAACAAGGGGAAATCCATCTCTAAAAAAATACAAAAATTGGCCAGGTACGGTGGCTCACACCTGTAATCCCAGCACTTTGGGAGGCCGAGGTGGGTGGATCATGAGGTCAGGAGATCGAGACCATCCTGGCTAACACGGTGAAGCCCTGTCTCTACTAAAAATACAAAAGATTAGCTGGGTATGGTTGTGGGTGCCTATAGTACCAGCTAATCCGGAGGCTGAGGCAGGAGAATGGCGTGAACCCAGGAGATGGAACTTGCAGTGAGCCAAGATTGCGCCATTGCATTCCAGCCTGGGTGACAGAGCGAGACTCTCTCTCTCTCTCTATATATATATATATTTTTTTTTTTTTCATATTTTTGAATTCTTGGTGGTACATGCCTATAGTCCTAGCTACTTGGGAGGCTCAGGTGGGAGGATCATTTGAGTCCAGGAGGTGGAGGTTGCAATGAGCCAATATTGCACCACGACACTCTAGCCTGGGCAATAGACAGAGTAAGTTCCTGTCTCTAATAATAATAATAATAATAAAATAAAAATGTAAACTAACAAACTTTCAAAATAATATCCTCCTTCAAGTCATCATATATTAAACTGGATGCTGTACAAATCAAGTAGCCAATTAATGGACTTGGAAATATTGCCCTTTGTTTTACTGGGTCGATGTGAATTTACATTTGCTCAGGTATAGTTAGTTTTCAAGCGTTAATGCCTCTGAGGAAGGTAGGCTAAGAACAGTACATTCCAGTATGTTCCAAAGATATGCTAGGAAAAAGACTGTAGGCACCGAAAGTCTCAGTCCAAGGCTGTTGTTTGCTTACCCTCCAGACTAAGCAAAACGTATGGCAAAGAAAGAGTATTTAAATCTCATTTGTTACATGTATGAGTGAAATGATAAATGACCCAAAAGAGCATCTAATGTATAGTGGCTACCAAAAGGCAACAACTAAAAAGAATGAATGCCAACTAATAAATTATGGCTATAAGGCTCCAAAATCCATTAGCTCTAAGTCTGGATACGTTACTAGACTTTTATGTACATTTATTTCCTTAAAATTAAAGCTGAGGTAATAAATATAGAATCATAGAATTGTCTACGCTCTGACAAAAAATTACTTCAAATCCCTAGGTAGACACATAGGCTCTTTAGGTCTGTGTTCCCTATCTGCTAAATAACAAGCTTTGACTAGATTATATGGATATCTACTCCATCTAGTTAAGGGTCTATAATTGTAGAACAGCTGCAGTGAGAAAATAGATGAAAAAAATGCTTTGAAAAAAAAGTTAAAAGTGTTATACATATGTTCGATATAGGTGGAAAAAGCCAATAAGGGAAAGATAACATCTGGTCAAAAGATTCTAAAATTATCCATCATTCTTCTGAACTATTCATGCCTTTTCAGGATCTCCTTTCTTTGGAGCTGCCTATCATTTGCGTACCATATCAAAAGCATTCTTATAGAATACACTGTAATATTGGTCACCAACCTCAAAAAGTCACTTTCTATATTTGTAGCTAATAGATATATAGCAAAGAGCCGCATGTCATTAACGATAACTTAAGTCATCTTTCAGTCCACAGTTTTCTGTGGTTTAATAATGGCATCACACACTAATTCTTCTTTCAGGAGTGACCTTTACAACACCATTAATCCTCACAGCTTTTATCCAACTACATTATTACTCATTAAAGTTTCAGCTTTCAACATCTGCATTTGTTGAAAAGAGAAAAGTAAATTGCAGTGGACTTAAATCCTTGGAAATTATGAGGGATGTGTATGTGGTGAAGGGACTTTTCAGAGAAAAAAAAGAGATGTTTTAGTAGTGGGGAAAGTCATGATAAATGACACTTAGTACGTTCTTGCCTTTCTAAAATACTTTGCCATACTTAATCCTTGGGAATGCTAAAGAAAAAATATTCATACGTGCTACAAATAAAAACATATTAGTTATTCTACTAGTCACATATTCCAGTTCTAACAACATTGCAAAAGTTGCTCTTGTACTAACACTATGACATTTATAAGCTTACATGTATATTAGGATAGTGAATGATTCTTGCCAAATAAAATATTTTTTCTTTTACATAGTACATAAAAGTAAATCTAATCTTGGAGCTCATTTAGGATGCTGAGCAGAGTAACTGGAGTTAGACCTTAAGATGAAAAAGCACACATGTGTCTGAAACCTTTTTCAAACTTCTCAAAACTTCAGTTTTTACTGTTGCTCTTTTCACTGTGGCCCCACTGCCCAGATTGAATTCCTCTTAACAAATAATCTGGAATTCTACTTTGTGGAGATTAAAGCATTTGATACACACTCCTTCAGCCTTCATTCTGATCATTCCAAAATTTCTCTGAAATTTTACCATTTATCTCTTCCTTTCCTTCATTCTCAGGAAGAAGAAAAGTTTTTCTCCTTTACAAGGGTTAATCCCTTCCCATCACTTTTCATATCTATACATGTCTTTTGCACTTTTTCATATCTATACATGGCTTTAACTCTTCTTCCTCTCCCCCCTTGAAGCGTAATATACATATTCCTATTTTAAAACCTGTCTCTACTTAGCCTTCTCAAAGTATTATCACTTTCCAACACCAAACTTAGAAAGAGATGAGTTTATGTCTCCAAATTAACTTTCTTTCCTCATAGTCTTCTGCTCTGTATAACTGGAAATCTATTCAAACCATTGTATTAAAATTTCTGTCAGTCTACCTGTCCATGAGCTCCAACCAAATCCTAAGGCTCCTATTCTTCATGTTCTTTAATTGTCCTGCAGAAGTTGCACCATTAAATAATCCCTTTTTTTTGAAACTTAGTTTTCCTAGGCTAGCATGACATTACCCTATCTTCACTCTTATTCTAAAATACCCACTTGCTCTTTACTCTTATTCTCAGACACTCAACTTACTCTTCATCAGTTTTGCACCTAAAAAAAGTATAGTTGTTCTAAAATACGTCCAAAGATACTTTAACACTCTCTACTTCAGTTGGAGCCTAGTTCTCCTTGCCTTGAGTTGGGCTGGATTTAATGATTCTCTTATAAGAAACAGAATAAAGCAGAATTGCCTCTGGATGAACTTGGAGAACAGGTTATAAAAGACACTGTGCCTTTCTCTTTGTTCTTCTCTTGGATCACTCACTCAGGAAGGTCCACTGTCATGCTACGAGCAGCCCTAGGGACAGGCCTAATGTGGCAAGGAACAGAGACCTCCAGAAAACAGATAATAATAAATGTTAAACAATAAATAATAATAAATTAGACAATAAATATTGGTTGTTTTCTGCTGCTAAGTTTTAGGTTAATTTGTTACACAGCAATAAATATTAGTTATCTATATTATAATATTAATATCAGTTATCTATCTATTAGTATCTAATGCAAAACCAGCTGCTAAGTTTTAGGTTAATTTGTTACATAGCAATAAATACTAGTTAGCTATATTATAATATTAATATTAGTTACCTATCTATTAGTATCTAATGCAATACCTACAATTCTTCACTCCACTTCTTTTCTTACCACACACAGCCTTTTTTGATGGACTTCTTTGTTCTCCTGTGTTCAACCACCTCATCAAGGAATAATTTCCGTATCTAAAATTCTGGCATCTCTTTTACCTATGAGGCTTATATTTCCAGCTTCTTCCTGAACATCTCTACCTAAATAGTTCCTTGTGCTTCAAATTCAACATATATTACATGTTTATGTCTTCCCCCAAACCTGCTCCAATTCTGGGCTCCCCTTTAATTGTTAATAGAGGCATAATAATCCTTGTTATTTCATGAATTCAAAATTCTAGTTTCCTCTGTCTACAACTTGACCTTTACCAGATATATTCTATTGTGACTGAATTATGTCAATTCTTCCTTAATTAATATCTTTTTAATCAATTCTCTCCTTTATCACTGCTTATTTCTGTCTCATGTAACTTATTCTTGCCCTACACCTAAACAATGGTTTCCTGAATTCCAACATCATTCTGCCATCTCATCCTTTCAGCTTTGGCTGTGATCACTTTCCACCACACATTTTTTCTACAGTTTAGACAAATCAGTGCATTTCTCAAAAATATGCTATTTCACTTTGTGATTTTTTTCTTACTGTTTAGAATGCCTAGGGATCTATCTCTTCTTCAAGGCTCAGTTTGAATTAGGATATATCTAACTCATACTCTTCTGTAGTCCTTCCCAGACAGAATCCAACACTCTCCTCTCTTTGTAGAATTTTATATGTGCTCTGCAATAGCACTTATTACAGCTGACTTATACCATAGAATGAATGACTTTCCTTTAACTAAACCATGAGCTCCTTGAGGGCTGGCCTCCTTAAAAATTGAATAAAAATAATAAAAATATCAATAAATCTGTGTTGAAATCAGTATATACAGTCTGATTTATATATGCGGAAATTAAAATCATTGAATTTTTCAAAGTCAGCTTATAAAAGTGTTTTCTACTATTTTGTTTACTCTACTGAATTTACAATTATATAGAATTGAAGCTATCCACTCTTTATAATACTTTGGTGTTTGCAAATAATCCTCAAGCAGAATGAAAGTGAACAAACTTCACATCCTTATGGTTGACTGATGATAGAGGCAAAATGCATTTCATCACAATGTAACTTTGTGCAATTTACACAAAAAATGGAAATTTCAATGACGTAAAAGGTAAGTCACCTAATAATAACATTCTGGAACCATCACTGCTCACTGCAATTAGTCATTTAGTCTTCTTTTTATGTTGTATGGACATAGTTAGAAATATAGATATAACCTACACAATTAGATTTTCAGGAGGGCATTATAACTTAGACTTTAGTGTGAAATTTCATTTGCATGTTTAAAACGGACCTAGGTGAACTCAAGCCGTGTATAGAGTGTGTGTGATGTGCCATTTAAAGATGATTCCATTCAATAGCCATAAACAGAAAATCAGCAAGAACAAAAGAAACAGAACTTACCTATTGTGCTAACTCTGGCTGAAGGGCTAGCTAACGCTGCTGGGACAGAGGCTTTGAGGGGGCCTGCCCCACTGTTTATTCTCAGAGCTGGCATATGGGGAGAGGTGGGTGATGTGGGTGATTTGCCATCAGAGGTCTTGGGTTTAGCTGATAGGTTCAGTGGCTGTGCCACTTCATCCTGCAATGATCATTAGAACATGAGCTGTGATAAGGAAAGGCTGATCAAAAATGCCTAGAAAAACACAGGTATGCAGCCTGTCATTTCCCATCAAATTACTCTACCAATCAGTGATCTTAACATTCATTCTGAACATTACAGTATTTGGTTAGCTGCCAACATAATGTCTCCTTCAACTACACATTCCAAATACCTTTCGTATAAGAGAAAATACATGTGTACTCAACTATCCACAGAAAGCAGATAATTTTTATAACCTGTAAGAAATATTCTTAAAAAGCTACTCTTGGTACTATATTCATTTGTATTGAGAGACATTACACATTAGATTTGAAATATGATGTAGGTAGGTTTTTTTTTTTTTTAAATCTCCAAAGAAAAGGGGTTGGATCTGATGCATGTTTGTACCCTGGTGCCTCGGCAGAGCACCTGGAACACCCACGATGGAGGACCACAGATAGTTGTGTGACTCCGATCAGAACTGCTCTCCAAATTCAACACACACACAAGAAACTTTCTAACTTTCTTAGAAAATAATCCTTTCTCCCTAGGTTTTGCAGAAACACCTTTGAAGTTGATCTAAAAATGAAAATAAACATAATAACATAACCCTAGTATGTACAACTTATTTATATGTCATACTGTTCTAAACACTAAACAAACACCATGTTTTCAAAATCCAGATTTGTTTTCCAGGTTTTTCTTTTAGTACACTATATGTGTCATGAAGATCATGTGATCAGTTCAGCATGGTTGATGATTTCCAGCTGTTCTATGGTTTAACAGGTCAAAACACAGTTTATACTCAATTTTAAATCGTTCTTAGGTAATTTCATACATGAGACTTACGGATACAGTATCATTAAAATTTATATCACATCATATATGAATATAAGAATGAGATAATATTAACATTATATAACTTTTTAAATTGGAAATTGAAAAGGTTATTTTGTTCCTTTTCTGAGCTCTAAAATTGGAATATCATGCCACTTGTTTATATATCAATGTTTACAATATATAAAATTTTACATTAATATCATTGTAGAATAAAAACTTAGTTTCCACTTAGCTATTTCATGAGTTAAGAACATAAAATATTTACCAATAACAGGATGATCTGTTGAAAGTAGAAAAATTTTTAATCAAATGGGGTAGTCACGTGACATTAAAGTGTATGTTAATTACTGTATACAAAAGTTTAACGCACAGTTTTACCAAAAGAACCACTGAAATAAATCACTTTACAAAATGGTTAAATGGTAAAATATGACATCAATTTCAAGTTTTTTATATATATATAAAAAATATATTTTATATATATATATAAAATATATTGCCCAGGCTGGAGTGCAGTGGTGCAATCTTGGTTCATTGTGATCTCCACCTCCCAGTTCAAGTGATTCTCCTGCCTCAGCCTCCTGAGTAGCTGGGACTACAGGTGCACACCACCACATCTGGCTAATTTTTGTATTTTTAGTAGAGACGGGGTTTCACCATGTTGGCCAGGCTAGTCTTGAACTCCTGACCTCAAGTGATCTGCCTGCCTTGGCCTCCCAAAGTGCTGGGATTATAGGCGTGAGCCATGGCGCCTGGCTTCAAGTCTATATTTTTAAGTGGTTTAATATTATTAGATTATTATTTGATTCTGTGGTTATGTGCACTTAAGAATCCCATGAACAGACTAGGAAAAAATTACTCTTGTAATACATCTTATTTCAGTTTATATTGTTTGTTTCAGTAAAATAAATTTTGAAAATTCATGAGATAATTCAAATTAGCAATCTTCTATGATGTCAGATACGTAAGAAATTAAAGATGATTATACCAAATCTATATTGATTCATAGGATCTTGACAGGAAGTAAAATAATTCCATGATTGATGCAACATATAATTTGGAGAAGTTTACTTTAGCATTTTAAAAATCACAGGGGCAATGGCTGGGTGCAGTGGCTCACATCTGTAATCCCAGCACTTTGAGAGGCCGAGGCGGGCAGATCACAAGGTCAGGAGATCGAGACTATCCTGGCCAACATGGTGAAACCTTGTCTCTACTAAAAATACAAAAAGTTAGCTGAGCATGGTAGCACGCACCTGTAGTCCCAGCTACTCAGGAGGCTGAGGCAGGAAAATCACTTGAACTGGGGAGGCTGAGGCTGCAGTGAGTGAGATCGTGCCACTGCACTGCAGCCTGGGCAATAGAGTGAGACTGTGTCAGGAGGAAAAAAAAAAAAAAAGCTATAAGGGCAATATTATCCCTAAATTGTTCAATCTGAAACATGGACCTGTTCAACCATAATCTCTATATATGATGTCTTATTTGGCAGCAGTATGGAAGTATTGTATCCTCACATTTTAATCTAGTATGAATGAATACTTCTCAGAATGTGGTTCACAGACTAGCACCATAAGCACACCTGGGAACTTGTTAGAAAGGCAAATTCTCTATCATAGAATCTAAGAGGATGGTTCCAACAACCTGTGTTTAACAATTATTCATTCCCAGGGGATTCTGATGTACACTTAAGCGTAAGAGTCACTGCCTCATATATTAATAATATAAAGGGAGACTATTGAAAAAGTTTTATTAGACTTTCAAATCCTTTAAAAAGCTTCTTCTGTATAAGAAGTTAACATTAAAAATATGTAATATTACCTCAGTGTTTAAAATACAATTGGGACATATCATATGCTAATAGTGGAAACATTCATACGCATAATAAATTGAATGTTACTGAGATTCCATGGGACAATAAAGATTAGAATCCAGATCTACTCTTGGTCAGTTAAGCCTAAATATCCTGACTGTCAGGGACTTTACTATTTACTACCCAGCTGTAAATATTCCAGGCTCTGTTTTCCCCTAGCAATGTAGTGCCTGTTTACTGCCTTCTGTGTGAAACTGACTTCTGTCATGACGCCTTTAGAACTTCTTTTTGACATCATCATAACTCTTGCAAAAGTTTCGGGAGATACTTGGATCAAAGACGGCTGTTTTACTTGAATGTGAAGGAAAGAAAAAGAAACAAAACAAAAAAGCAAAACAGAGCAAAGCAAAGAGAAGGACTGTATTCCCAGAGTTGGAACAGGGAAGACTTTTATGAGCAGAGAGGAAACACAGTGTGAGTGTATAGTGAGGGGGGAATGGTAGTATTGATGAAGATGATGTGGACGTGGGTGCTGATGGGATGAAGTTTCATATGTCTTAGCTTTAAGCACTAATAACTATTATTTGCCCATGCTGAAAGATAACTATTCAAAACATTTATTAGAGCAAGAGACCCACTGAAAACTCTTAGTATGCACCTCCATTCAAGGCAGCACAGATGTCTGAAAGCCAAAAAGTGCAAGGCCCCAAGGACATAATAGAGGTTGACAGTTCCAAAGCTGATATAAATGTCATTCAAAATTGCCCTTTCCTTCTCTTCCATTGTGTGACCAGGCTAATGGTATATTAATAAGAACTCACATTCTTGATCTTTATATTGGTAACTGTATAAATAATTTTGACCCATTATATGGTATTATTTCACAATTTTGTTCTTTTAATAATTTACTACTGAGCTGCTATACCAAATGCCTATTATTTATGAAGAATACAACAATTACACCAGTTTCCCATTTTATATTAATTATTTTTCATTTGACTAGATGAAAATTTAAAAATCTTAACTATAAAATGGACATGGACAATTTATTTCTGGAATGCATTCTTATAATATGAATATGTGCAATAAAAGCTGAAGGTAAGACTTCTCTTTGTTTTTTACTTGTAATCTTATGTTGGAGAAATTCAAAAGCTTAACATGATGAATCCCCATTGTTACAAATAAAACACACATTTAAACATGTTAAATAAATTACTTATGAATAAAAGGATGTAATTCTCAAGGTCAAAAATAATTGAAAAAGATACTATTTCTATCAACTACACCATCAAGCAGTGAGCAAAGCAATTTCCTGTTAATTACTTGCCTAATAGTTAAATGAGGTTGCCAATTGGAACTTTTGAAAATAACATATTTCATAATTATTTCATTTATACACAAAGTAAGAGTTAAGAATTTAGTTATCTGCCTAGTAGCTCCAAACTTGTATATCATAAATATAAAGTAAGCATTTATGTTTAAGTAAATGTGTAAGTTAAACAAATTTTAACTAGTAGAAGGCTATAATTTACATTTATAGGGTTCATTATAAATATTCCAAAGAATTTATTTAAACTTCACGACTATGAAGTAATTACTAATCTTGTGGAGGAAAGTAAGGCTTAGAAAGTTCTAATGAAACCCAGGTTTTTGGACCAACATACAATACTCTTTTAATTTCTGTGACAAATTTAATCTTAAATTTAAAAGGGCATTGATGGAATGTAACTTCTGAAATTCAGTCCTAGCTATATAATTCTGCTACACAATAACCGCATGAAAAATAATATATCTGCAATAAAATGATGTAATACAAACATTTGCCATTTTATACATAAAAATGTTAAGGCACAAATTTACTTGTCTCGGTGACTTGTTTTGTGCTTCTCTGTCCTCTACGCTATGTAGCACTGAAAATTTCCTTTAATACTAAAGAGTGGTTTGGACTATTCTTTTAGAAAAATCTCAAGAGTTCATGTATACATGATACAAGAAAATAATATTTTATATAACCAAATACAAGTTTTAGAAGCTCACTCATGATATAACTTCTTCTAATCAATTACTAGGCCAATCTTAGTTTTCTGGGATAGAAGGCAAAGTAAGTAAAATCCAAATAAACATATAGGTCTGGGATGTTCCATTTACATAATTACAGCTACGATAACTTATCTGAAAGCTAACATCTCAATACCAGTTTGTGGTCACAGTAGTAGAAATACTATAGAGGCCTTAATCACTTAATCCCAGCCAATGACAATTTGCCACGCAGATGAAAATAAATTGCATAAAGAATGTGGAACAAATATGTAGCCTTACATGCACTGAGGGAATACCAATTGTCACCATA